AAAGGCTTTCTAAATGAAGGAGTTACTGGAGCTTACATAGTACAAAGGCTCACACAAATTGCCTGCCAGTCAATTGGATTTGATGGGCAGGAAAGACAGATTGGTGCAGGAGAGGGATAGGACATTTGCTAGGTTCCAGCTAGAACGTTTTTCATTTTGAGGTTTTGAATTTTAACACTAAGGGGATAGCTAAAATGCTGTTGCTTTCGTTTGTTGGCATGGGTTAACAGTTAGCCCCTGTTGGCACTGATGGTTTTGTTAGTGTTGATTATTAGATCTGCTTTGGAAGACACTCTCCTGTTTTGAAAGCTATGTGTGATGGTACTGCACTTTATTTGCACTTCCCTTCTGTAGAATCTTTTTCTCCTTTCGTAGCAGGGAGAGAAGGAATGGAGAGCATTAAAAAATAGGTACCTTGAAGTGGTATCAGCCTGCTAGAAGTGTGTCAGCCAGCTTTTGTTTCTGTAGACAAAGGGGCAAAACATTGCCAGTGATTCGTGCTGCCAGTACAGCAGGGCCCAATACCATCTCAACGGGCCGCAGTTTATGCTGCGTTATGCAGTACCTTCCCCAGAGTCCTGACTGCTAGCACATAAATGCTAGGCAGAGATCAGCCTCTAGGGTCACTTTTTGACATATATATTATGGCCATCTATATAGATTACAATCGCTATCTTTCTCACTGTGTAATGGCAAATGCAGGGAGAGATTGTGCTTCCCAGAACATGTGCAATCTAAGGAAAAAGAAAAGTAATGATACCGTAAAAGAAAGAAATGGGTAAACGCAACCTTTTGTATGGAGTCGTAGTTTTTGTGAGAAAGGAAGGGAGTGTACTAGGACATGGCATCAGTGCTAGATAGTATACAATTTAAAAAATACCTGGATTTCCACTTTGCTAAGAGCACTGAAGGAGAATGGAAAGAACTGGAGACAGCAAAGATTTCCAGGTCTTGTCATCTTCCCCTCTTGTCCTTGTTATGTTGCTTGTCAGCAATTTCCATGCTGGTTAATCACTGGCCCCTGCTACTGCTACCCCAGGTTTGTAATTTCCCAGGCTCTTATTGCTAACAATTTTCAAAGCCCAAAGCCTTACGCTGGAACAGAGAGCCAGGGCTGCACTGAGCCAGTGTGAATCCACATGTTCTACATAGTCATACTAAGGATAGTGCACCTGGTGTCTTACTGGCAGTTATTAAATAATTCTGGTCATTTCAAGGGAATGTTTCTTTTTATTTTTTAAATCTTTTAGAAATTAATTTACCCATCCATCAATCATATATGTGTCCATGTGTGTGCCATATTTTGACATTATATCATGTCAGAATTACTTACCTGGGCAGAGCTGTAGGTGGTAGCAGTAGCTAGAAGATTCCCTGTTAGATTTCAACGTATGAGATTATTTAATCTTGGGTTGAATTGACAGTATACATTTCCCCCAGATGTATCTGGTTCCAGTCAGTTCAGTGGAATTCAGATCCTGAAAACACTGAGTGATTATGCTAGCTAACATAGAGAGTTGCAGAAATTTTTAACACCCATGATGGTAGTTAAAGGATCTTGTTCATAATAACTGGGTCTTCGCTGTCCCGAGAGCCACTGTGTCTTTTTTTTTTTTTTATTTGGGTGATATAGATGACAGTTGGAAAAGAAACAGCAAACAATATGTCAAAACATCCACCCTTTTGTCTCACCTTCTTAATTAGCACTCATTCCTCTGGTGTATACTGAGCACTCTCAAGGAGTAAAAACAAAGCCAGCCCAAATGGAAGAGGTTTTTTTTTTCTTAAGACTCCTTTCAGGCAGTTAAGAGCAGAAGACTCATAGATTTGAACTTTGTGTTCAGTGGAGAGACAACAGAGTCAACAGCAATGTGGCATAATGCATTCCCAGAGACCAACACTGCTGAGCCAAAAGGCAGCCCTCTCCTCAGCAAGGGGAAAAGTCATCAGAATCAACTGGACGCTCAGCAAAATGTCAAAAAATGTGTCTTGCTTCCATATTTGGAAAGTATATGTCTTCTTAAAAAGACATAGACTGAAAGTACTTTCAACACTTTTATGCTTAACATGATAGATCTGTGATATTCATATCCAGAGGCTTCTGCTTGCATAGGTTGTTCTATGGTATTGGTACCAGAGATATGTAAACACTGCAAATGTCTGAACTTCTGGATTAATAGCTTCTTAGTTCAATTGAATTTCCTGTTCTGGAAAGATGAAAGATCTTTTCATTAATGCAGGAAACAATTACTGCAGTTTACAGTAGGTCCGTTCATGCTTTTTAATATGAAGCAGCATTACTGTGTAAGCTGCTGCCACCGAGTACCATTATACAGTGAAATCCATGTAGGAGTACATTTAAATAGAACACCTTATTTTGGTCTCACAGAAGAGAGCAAAACTGAATAATTTTCAAATATATAATTTTTTTCCCATTTAAGTGATATCATCAGAATTCTACCAGGAAGTGGCAGCACTCAGTAAAGATCAATCAGGAGATTATAACATCTACCAAATGTCATCTTTCTGCCCTAAATATAGTACACATAACAGATATTACATCTCTCCCTATAAGTTATTATACTACTCAT